CAGAAGGCGACGGTTTTGGTGACTTCCAAATTGATCCGGGATCCATACAAGCAATTTCTGATGAACAGCTTCCTACCGATTCTCCAAGCAGTACACAAGAACCAACAAGTACGCGAAAGAGCTCATTTCTTTTTGTCAATGTTTTGCTTTTCAGCAGCTCATAATTATACTCTGTTGCCGTTTGACAGCAAGTGTGAGCCATGCTACTGGTCATTGTTCTTTGGGGTAAATTTTATTCGCAGTGTTTTTGGAAAGATTTCTCATACCCTTGGACGAACATACACAACACTCGTTGCAAGACAGGTTTCTAAGAGTAAAATATTTTAACTTTAATATCCTTTATTAAGCAGGAGTAAAAAATCTCTCTGTTTTTGGGTGATCTGGTCCAAACTGTACGATGTTGTGAATCAAATGTATCTCAGCGAAGCTCATTTGTGATTCAGTTTACATGATGTTGTTTTTGAACTGGACTTTCTCTTTCCTTTTTCATAGGCGATAAACAACGCGAATGCTCGTGTAAAAATGCCTTGTTTGGAGCTATAATTGGAATTCTTGTTCTTATAATAATTCTCCTCATTATCTACGTGGTGTGGCTGCACAAGAAAGGTATTAAAGTAATTTATTTTTTGAGGAGCTATTTTATTTATTACAGGTTTCTGTTTCTCCTCACTAAATGCTTTGAATACATGTAACAGTCTCTTCTTTTGGTCCTTAGGTACAGCAGGAACAAAACGGTAAGACTGTGTACCCTTCTAGTTAAGATATGACAACACATCCCTAGTTAATAAACCTCTCACTCTAGTCGTGAAAGAGTACCTGGTAAAACCTACTTATAATATGTTAGTGACTTCTGGCACCGGATTGATCCCAGTCCAGTCATTCCTAATCAAATAATATTAAACAATAATTATAATTGTTTATGTTTATCCAGACCTTTGGGTCAACAAACCTTATGCCGGCCTTTATTCTGGAGATGATTATTACGAGAGTAAAAGGTCATTGGTCTTTGACCTAAAGAATATGACATCAGGTAGCCGATTCTGGAAACTTAGCCAAATTGAACTTCGGTGTTATCTTTCTTACATTTTCAGGCAATATGAAGACAACAGAGGAGTATATGATGTAAGATAATCTATTTGTTGTTTCAGGGTTACTAGTTTTTTTCGTTTTACTT